TTGACAGCGCGTCAGGCAAATAGGCGGGCTCCATCCCCGGCCTCTAGCGACTGTGGAAGTCGCTACATGAATGGAGTCAGGAAACAGCAGCAGGATCATGTATCGGGTCAAGGAGCTACTGTAAGTGCAGAGGAGTGCCTGCCATTCACAGGAGTTACTATAGCAACAAGCCCTCACAGCTGTGTACTGATGACTCTGTTTAAAACTCTGCAGTTCATGCTACATCCTGATGTCTTAGCATAGGCACACTTAAAATTTCTTCAGAAAGTTTCGCTGTCTAATTATTTTTGAACATTGTATGAAAGTAATATTTTATATTAATATTTATTGTCCTCTTTTGATGGAATAGAATATTGTAAAATGAATGATTTTCTGTTTCTCTTTGAGTTGTCAGTAATGTGACAGTAACTCAGAATGGACATAATCTTAATGACAAATACATTTTCAGACTTTCAGAGGACAGAACGAGACTGAAAGGTGACTCTTAGTGAAGTCAGCTGACAGCAGAACGATTCATTGCACTAACATGATGATCAGAGTGTTTACTGATTAAATACACTGATCCCTTAATAGTTTCTACATGAAATATATATTCAAAAACAACCATATGGTCCACTCTATATGTGACAGAGGCAGAAATTTCTCTGTGCGCATGTGGAGAAATCTGCTGTTAAATCAGAACATGAGCAGGTTTCAGGCGGCATTAAAACATGAAAACAACACTGCACTCACTCAGAGGTCATGCGCAGTAACCAAACTCACACCAATTGGTGCCAGGAACTGGCAGCAAAGGCAGGGAGGTGTCTTTTCCAGCTAAACAGAAGAGGAATAAAAAGATAATGAAGGTCAGTTTGAATCACTCTTATTAGTTAGTTAGTTAATCACTCATAATTAATTCAATACAGCGGTGTGCTGACAGATCCTGGATCAGTCTAAATCATCAGCAATTTGATCCACGTATGGATTGAAGTGTATTTGTGAAAATGTTGGACTGTTTCGTCATCAGTGTCTAACAGTATGTGTATGAGAGTGATGTAATGTCCATGTGTGCATGCTGACTGTGCTGGTCTGACCCCCCTCTTCCTTTCAGGGAGGGGCCTGCTAGAGTCCGATGGTTGAGACCAGGTCTGAGGAAGTGTAAGTGTGTTTTTAATGTAATTTATGAAAACAAAGCAGCACACATTCAGCCATCTTCAAACTGTCACATCACTCATTCACATCTCTGATGTCAGGAGTCTTCATCAAAGTGTCAATCAGTGAACAGATGATGGATCAATAACTGCAGCTGGATTTTGTTTGTTCTCTCCATCAGATTCCTGTCAACTCACAATCGACACAAACACAGTACACACAAACCTCAAACTGTCTGACAACAACAGGAAGGTGACACGTGTGGAGGAGGTTCAGTCATATCCTGATCATCCAGACAGATTTGATGTTCTTCCTCAGCTGCTGTGTACAAATGGTCTGACTGGTCGCTGTTACTGGGAGGTCGAGTGGACAGGAAGGGTTGATATATCAGTGAGTTACAAAAGAATCAGAAGGAAAGGAGACAGTACTGACTGTATGTTTGGATTTAATGATCAGTCCTGGAGTCTGTGCTGCTCTGATGATGGTCCTCAAATTGCCAAACACAATCATATGGAAACATCCATCATCTCCTCCTCCTCCTCCTCCTCTGTCTCTAACAGAGTAGCAGTGTATGTGGACTGTCCTGCTGGCACTGTGTCTTTCTACAGAGTCTCCTCTGACATTCTGATTGAGCTCCACACCTTCAAAACCACATTCACTGAACCTCTTTATCCTGGATTTACACTCCAGGCTTCTTTAAAGGGATCAGAAGTTCAATATGGTTCAGTGTGTCTGTGGTGAGTTGAGTATAAAGAGTATCCTCTAGTTTGAGAAACGCTCTGACTGTTGAACAGATAGTTGAGTGTGTACATCTCTTTCACCCAGAAAACTGTTTTCAGATTCATGGATTCAGTCAGTTGATGTTTTAAACTGTTCTAAATGATTCCTTGTAAACGTGTAATCCTCTTCAGTCCTTTAAAGATGGAAGCTATGATCATTCCAGGATGTTTTTTTTTCTATTTTTGCCATTTAAAGCTTCACAGTGAATATCAATATTGTTATATATAATAGTGAATGATAGCGATTTTAGATGTGTAGACAGTGTAGAAGCTTCAAGGTGAAGAAACACTAAGTCCGATGATAAAATGGGCACTTAGGACCACTTGAGACAAAACAATATCTGGCATCTTAATCAGGGTTTCATTTAACAGTCACTAAGACAACAGGCTATTAGGTGAGAGGTAAGGGAATAGCAAAAATCATTTAGTACATGTGTAGTAGGAGACTTTGTAGTAGGAGACTGTTGGTGCTTCAGGCTGGGACCCGCCTGAAGCACCAACAAAGTGAGAATTAAGTTAAAACAATGATTCTCATCAGTTTTCACCAGTCAGATAGATGTGTTTCTCTGTTTCTCTGTAGCTCTGTTCACAACCAGCCCCTCTGCATTTTCAACAAGTCTAAGCTCTTTAAAAATAATCCAAATGTTTGATTTCTCTTTCTTAATGTGATTTTTCCAAACTCTCCACGTGTTCTTACTGTTTCACTCATTTGAAAATGTTTCAGCCAAAGAAGCTGAAAATAGTGGCTCAATTGTTTTTTTAATGCAGTTATAACCAGAATATGAGTGTATTCAGGGGTCACAGTGCTTGTGTCTTATCTAATAAGCAGCAAACGCTTCAATCCTAGTCTTATGTTTTTCCCATGTTGAACAACCACATGGTGCAGGGTGTTGGTAACAGCTTGGTTATAAAACTCGTAGAAACATGTAAATATGTGTGTAGCACAGAGCACTGCATATGTTGTCTATCACTGTTGTCAATCTAGTTGGCATGAAATAAAAATAATAAAAATCATCATAAGCTGAACTTTAAACATTGTGGGTGTTTATTTTGTTTAGCACTTACAGCCGATCTCGGGTCACTTTTTTCAAATATCCCTGCTGTTCTCCATATGTCCTGTAGGTGGCCTCAGTGTGTTTCTCATTGCTCCCAGTCAGCTGATGTCCTCCAGCAGAGCAGCAGTTCCCTGATCTTTCATGGCTTCCTGTGATGTTAGTAAAATGTCCACAAAAAGCAGTGATTTGCAGTCACTTGCGTTCACATCCTACAGAGAAGACAGATCAAACTCTGAAACTGGAAACTTTCCTGTTTTTAAACACGCATTTAAAATTTGATGGCAGTGAGACGTTTGAAACGAGCAGGGAAACTGGAAAAGTTGCTGAGGTGTCACAAACAGCTCACAGCCAGTGAGCTCTGCTCTCTGTAGCCTCCAGGCTGTTTCACCTTTCATCTCATCTGTCAAATCAAAATGTTAACAGAGTCAAATTTAGTTTGAAAGTCAAAACAAAGAATTACCAAATTTACATTTTAATGAATGAAATGACTTTAAAAAAGTCTTTCAACTGTTTTCTTCTTTATACTTGTAGTAGGAATTCCTTTTTTTTTTTTTTTTGACAAACAAAACATCCAACAAGTTCAGCCACTGCTGATGGTTGGTTGTCAAGCTGCACACAGTAGAAGACAAACGAAGAGAAAACTGTAGCATGAGCCAATGCATATTCAACTGGTGTGGAGTGTGGACTGAAATGGCAAAAAGTAAAAAAAATAAAAATAAAAATCCTCTCAAACAAATGAGTCTACCTTAAAAACCAAAATATGGCCTGATAACTTTCACATCCACTTTCACTTCCATATCGCCAAGCTTTTTGATCAATTGACTTCTTTCAGCATCATTTTTTTTGACAATGCAATAAAACATGTTCAGTTGTTTCCTGTCCTCTACTGCATGT